TTTCGTGGCATTTATGTCGATGAGAGATGAGCAGATCGCCACTGGCTTTAACTAATACCACAGCCACGCAAAAACTGCGGCATTTGTACAGCTCCTTATGAGCTACTGCAATTAGCGAAGTTGCTCCTCCGTGGTGAAACGCATCTCAGCACTGCACCACAGAGTGAAGCGCAGAATGTCACGCTGGAGATAAAGAGGCCGGGGCTGCGTTGCGTGCAGCCCTCCTTCTGCATGGTCACGGGGAGAGCGCTCTGGCGGCGGTCTCGTTCAGATCCGAATACAATTTAAATGATTTATGCACACTTATTCCACTTATCTGTGTGCCAACTGGTTACGGGGCCGCGTGCGCAATTGCGGCAGCGGTCCAGGGGTGCCACCCCTGATGATAGATTTTAAAGGGTGGGATTGGAGGAACGCCGTCCCTGATCGAACCCGAGCAGTGGATTTATTCGTGTCCTAGTCATAAGATTGGCCATAACAATCCAAATTCGCATAAGGATGCTCATAATTGTCATCGTATCCGGCAACTAGACAGATAAGGCGCGATGACTCGATTGCATCATCGGACCTGAGGCCGTACTGTCTGAACTTGTGTGAAGAGCAGGGGCGAAGCTGGCAGTTGGCAACCTGGTAGCCCAAACGACTGTGGGTGCGGAGTGACTGTGACCGTTTAAAGCGGGGTCTGCAGACCCCTCGCACGACGTGCAGGCATTGGCACGGCGGCACCGTAGCTAGTTTGCACACTAAGGATAGTGTTGCAAATATTTTAATTGTATTTCGGATCCGAACGGGACCGCGCAGATTCGGTACGTCTCCCCGTACCTGCAGAAGAAGCCATGCACGCAACGCAGCCCCGCTCTATTTTTCCAGGTGACTTCTGCCGCTTTTCCTCCGTCGGTGCAGTGCTGATCGTTCCCACGGAGGAAAGCACTTCACAACTTGCAGTAGCCTACCATAAGGAGCATGTAGAAATGCCGCAGGTTTTTGCGTGGCGGTGTATTCGTTGATAAGCCAGTGGCGATCTGCTCATCTCTATCGAGATAATAATGCTACAAGGGCGGACTGGCCATCTGTGTGTGAACTTCCGTCGGCTTCCCAGCCTAGTCGAGAGGCAGAGCACAGCTTCAGTTCATAACCCCTTAGCTTAATGACTGGTAGAGAGGGCGAGCTCTCTTGGAGGGCTGTTGCTTATTTACTTCTTCACTTGTTTCACAACAATACTCACGACCTCTTGTTTATCGCTTCCTCGTTTCATTCCGAACAATTTACACAGCTTCCCTCACTGTCGCTCTACCATCCACCAACACAATGCACAAGCACACCTCCTCTCTTATGTGCTTTAAGGCACCAGCGATCTCATCTGCACCTGCTGACCCAGGCAAACTTTTGACTGTTGTCCTTGCCTATACACCGATCAGCAGTTTTGTGTATTCTGCCTTCTTGGAGACCTTGAACAGAGTCTTGTATGGGGCACCTGAAGGGGACTACTTAGTCTTGCTAGGAGACTTCAATGATCATGTGGGCAATGATGTAGACCAGGGGTCGGCAACCTTTATGATATGAAGTGCCATTTTAAAAAACAATTGTTATCAGCGTGCCAACGATCGAGAATTATCAACGGGGGGGGGGGGGTTGAGGAGCTTGACGCTCGTCAACTATCAGCAGGAGGGAAGCTGCGGGGAAGCAGCGTGTCAGCGCAACTCACATGATGCCGAATTTAACAAACACATTTAAATAATTGGTTTAAACGGCATAATAATAAGGACGATCGTCCGTTCTGTGATTCTCCAGAGCACACATGCTATGATATTAGGGTCATGCAGAGGGAGATGAGATCGCTGTCCCTTTAAGAGAGAGAGAGAGAGAGAGAGAGGGGTGTGGCTTGTGCATGTGTGTTTGTGGATGGTAGAGCGACAGTGAGAGAACGTGTGTATGTTTCTGGAAGTGAAACGAGGAAGCAGAAAAACAGAGGTCTGTGATGTATTTTGTGAAACAGAAGAACAGCTAAATAAATGCAACTGCCTCCCAAGAAGAGCTCGCCTCTCTCCAGTCATTTAAGCTAAAGTGGGTTATTGAACCTGAAGCTGTTGCTTCTGCCCTCCTCGACTACGGTCTGGGAGCCGACAGGAAAGTTCAACACACAGTCCGCCCCTTTGTAGCATATTATGTCGATGAGAGATGAGCAGATCGCCACTGGGCTTTCAACTAAATACACAGCCACGCAAAAACTGCGGCATTTGTACAGCTCCTTATGAGTACTCCAATTAGCGAAGTGCTTTCCTCCGTGGTGAAACGATCAGCACTGCACCACAGAGGAAAGCGGCAGAATGTCACCTGGAGATAAAGAGAGCGGGCTGCGTTGCGTGCATGCTTCCTTTTGCAGGTAACGGGGACGCGATCTGCGCGGTCTCGTTCGGTCGAAAATGACAATTAAATATTTTGCACACTTATTCCTAGTGTGCCATAGTTACGGGCCGCGTCCAATGCTGCACGGCGTGCAGGGTTGCTTCGACCCCCGCTTTAAACGGTCACAGTTCACCGCCACCACATGTTGGGTTACCAGGTTTCCAACTGCCAGCTTCCGGCCCTCTCTTCGCACAAGGCCAAACATACGCCTCAGGTCCGATGATGCAATCGATCATCGGCCTTCTGTCTAGGTAGCCCGTGATACTATGTACAATTATGAGCCACCTTATTTCGGATTTGGTTTGTTAGGCCAATCTATGGCTAGGACAGAATAATAATTAGTCTGGCTCGGGTCTGATCAGGACTGTTCCTCCCAATCACACCCCTTAAAAGTCTACATCAGGGTTCGGCAACCCCTGGCACGCGTGCCTGATGGCACGCGGCACCTATCCAGTGGCACACTAGGAGAGTGAGTGGGACGGCAATAAGTGGAATAAGTGTGCATAAATATTGTAAGTTGTCATTTCGGATCGTCTGACGAGGACCGCCCGCCAGAGCGGCGTCTCCCCGTTACCTGCAGAAGGAGAGCATGCACGCAACGCAGCCCGCTCTCTTTATCTCCAGGTGACATTCTGCCGCTTTCCTCTGTGGTGCAGTGCTGATCGTTTCACCACGGAGGAAAGCACTTCGCTAATTGGAGTACTCATAAGGAGCTGTACAAATGCCGCAGTTTTTGCGTGGCTGTGTATTTAGTTGAAAGCCCAGTGGCGATCTGCTCATCTCTCATCGACATAATATGCTACAAAGGGGCGGACTGTGTGTTGAACTTTCCTGTCGGCTCCCAGACCGTAGTCGAGGAGGGCAGAAGCAACACGCTTCAGGTTCAATAACCCACTTTAGCTTAAATGACTGGAGAGAGGCGAGCTCTTCTTGGGAGGCAGTTGCATTTATTTAGCTGTTCTTCTGTTTCACAAAATACATCACAGACCTCTGTTTTTCTGCTTCCTCGTTTCACTTCCAGAAACATACACACGTTCTCTCACTGTCGCTCTACCATCCACAAACACACATGCACAAGCCACACCCCTCTCTCTCTCTCTCTCTCTCTCTTAAAGGGACAGCGATCTCATCTCCCTCTGCATGACCCTAATATCATAGCATGTGTGCTCTGGAGAATCACAGAACGGACGATCGTCCTTATTATTATGCCGTTTAAACCAATTATTTAAATGTGTTTGTTAAATTCGGCATCATGTGAGTTGCGCTGACACGCTGCTTCCCCGCAGCTTCCCTCCTGCTGATAGTTGACGAGCGTCAAGCTCCTCAACCCCCCCCCCCCCGTTGATAATTCTCGATCGTTGGCACGCTGATAACAATTGTTTTTTAAAATGGCACTTCATATCATAAAGGTTGCCGACCCCTGGTCTACATCATTGCCCACATGATCATTGAAGTCTCCTAGCAAGACTAAGTAGTCCCCTTCAGGTGCCCCATACAAGACTCTGTTCAAGGTCTCCAAGAAGGCAGAATACACAAAACTGCTGATCGGTGTATAGGCAAGGACAACAGTCAAAAGTTTGCCTGGGAAAGGCAGGTTTGGGGCCATCTGCTGGAACTGCTACCTTTGCGACCAGACTTCGTTTAATGGATGTTGACAATGGATGGATGGACCCCAAACCAGAACTAAGGTTTAATGCATACGTATAGGTCCTGCCGATGTGTAGGGCATAAGGTAAGGAGGAACAATAAAGTCTTAACAATAATGTAACATTTAGGAAGATGTTGGGAGAGGTTAAGATGAAGTTAAAAAACGAATTATGGTACCCGTCCTACTAACTAGATCCCTAAAACCGCCAAGTTAAGAATCAAAGATCAACCATTGCTAATTCAATGTTTTACAATGTTGAGATAAATACAACTATTTTACTTTAAATTGTTTTAAGGTGCTGTGGAAATACAGTGGAGAAAAACCAGCGACTCTGGGTGCCAACACTAGAATATACGACTGGATCCCACAAAATGATCTACTGGGTAAGTAAAGCTTTAATAAAATCCTTTGACAAAGAGATTCATGAATTTCACATTTAAATGGGTATCCACCACATCTGTTGTCATAATTTCGTTTCACAGAACAAAATCCTAAAGAGACATACACTAGGACAGAAAACATAGTAATAATAATTCGGTAAAGGTTGTCCTTTTGAATAAGGGATATTTCAACCCTTACAAATGTATTAAATGCATAATTAATAACTTTTATTTATCCAGTGAAAAGTTACCTATACAGTACACGTAGGTCCACACAATTTAGGCTGTGTCCCTTTCCCTATTTATCATACAGTAGTATCAAACATTTTTGAACTTCATACACTACAGAATTACTTACCTAATGCCAAATTCATTTTGAATGCTATTGGTATTTATTCCATTTCTTTTGGATAAAAAAAATGTACATCAACAGCACACAAAAAAAAGATTCAAATGTTTTTGAGTTAACATTCCAATGGTTTTGAGAATACCTACTCACTATCTCTTTGAATACCATTCAAACTCAACCGTTAGTTTTACTTAATTGGGACAGCTTATGCCTGGGTTGGACCAACAACCAGAGTGTCTAAAAGCTGTACTAAAAGCACAAACCATGAGGTCCGGTACTGTGTGCATGATTGTCGTTTCTGCAGTTTGTAAAATCTCTTTGGGATCTAACCCAAGCTTTTTCAAATGTTCAGTTTGTATAGTATAGCAGTCACATCATAAAGAAGAGTAGAGATGTGCTCTAGAGAAAGTCCTGAGTAAAGAGAGTAACACATGTTTCATTATTTTTGGTAAAATATCAGGTCACCCCAAGACCAGAGCTTTCATCACCCATGGTGGCGCAAATGGGATTTATGAGGCCATCTATCACGGTGTTCCCATGGTGGGCATCCCCTTGTTTGGTGACCAGCCACACAACATGGTCAATATGAAGACTAAAGGAGCTGCACTTTCTGTAGAATTTAACTCAATGAAGACCGAGGACCTTAGAGATGCAGTCAACACTGTCATCAATGAGAAATCGTAAGTTATTTTATATATCTTGGTATGTTTTAGTCTAATAAAAAGGTATTGAAAGAAGATAGCTTTTTGAAGAGAATACATTTGACAACATACCCCGAAGGAGCTATAGTGCTAGGATATCAGTTCAATGTACACCAGTGTTTCAAGGTCATTAAGACAATACGAAATCATGGATAACCTTTTCCTCTCATATATTGGCATTGTTGTTGGGATTAGGTTTTAAAATGATGACACCAAAAGTCGAGTTAACTGAAAATTCTGAAGGCTGTCTGTGATTTTGAAGGGTAAGAACACAGACTGAGGTCGATCTCTGGTAACTCAAAGTAACTCACAGGGCACCCAAAGTAATTCACAGGGCACCCAATGCAGCAGGATTTACTCCCTTTGAATCAATTATTTTTCAGATATTCGTTTGTAGGGCAAAAAGGCTGCTTCATTTGGCCTCTGCTGCCAGTGCAGGGAAACCCATTTGTTATCTGTTTGGCGTGTTCACATGAAAACTGACCGCACAGTCTATGTTTATATTTATATTTCATGCACTTATATTTCATATTCTAACAGCTTGTTTTGTAAAATAAATATTACAAAAAAAAGTTGAATTAATTTAATGAAATGCAATGCTTAAATTATAACCTATTGAATAACTAATTGACGGGTAATAAAAGTTAATGAAGGATATTCTATAACCCTGTCCTTCAATATGTCAGTCAACAAGAGAGTTTAACACTCTTTGTAAGGGGAAGAAACGTAACAATCCAATAGTAATTTATCTGTATATCCACACACACAGGTACAAGGAGAATGCCATGAGGCTGTCCAGTATCTTCCACGACAGACCAATGAGTCCTCGGGATGAGGCGGTGTTCTGGATCGAATTCACCATGAGAAACAAAGGAGCAAAGCACCTGAGGGTCCAGGCCCATGAACTCACCTGGTACCAGTATCACAGCCTGGATGTCTTGGCCTTGCTCCTCGCTATTGCTCTGTTCCTCATACTCCTCTTCATCAAGACCTGCAGTTTCTGCTTCCGTAGGTGCTATGGCAGAAAGGGAAAGACAAAGAGGAAGGCTGAGTAAACGACTGAATTGAAATGTAGCTGGTAAAGAACAGATGAATAAAGAAATCTGCCTGGTTGTTCATTCTTTTTAGTCTAAAACATAAAATGTCATCGCTATGCCCTGGGTTATAAATAATGGCCTATTCTTAAAGACGTTGAAACAACTAATAAAAGGTTACAAAAAAGTGTTATTCTATATTCTCATGTTTAATAATTATTTTGATCCCACACATACACTGCTTGTGACGACAAAAGGAAAAAATATGATTTAAGAAACAAAATACTTGTCAAAATCATCAGACATTCACCCTTTGGTCAATGTGAGGAGATTTTAGGAGAGAAACAAAGTTTGCAATAATCTCTCACTCTGTCTTTACCTACCTTAAAATACTGGACATTCGGGTGCTCTCTGACTTTCACACAGCATCTATCCTCTCACTACTGGACTCTGTTAGAGTATAAAGAAAAGCTATACACACTCTAAATATTTAGGATGTTTTTAAAGCATAAATCTATGGTATACTAACCTTACGTGGTAAGTGCTTCCTAGAGTGGTAATTACACTTCTCCTTACTGATGTGTTTTTCAAGTTTGGCTCACATCCTCCAGAGGGCTTTAACCAACAAAAACTGAAAAGCCTCATTGCAACTACAGCACAGGTGAAGTGCGCCCTGAATTGATAAAATGTTAGAATAGCTTTAAATGTTAAATAAAACACATATCTTTTTTTTCCCTATGTCCTTTTCAATTGTCAACAATAAGAGTAGCACAACAGCATTATCACTCTGTGACATTTAACACAAATCTGGGGATCTGAAGTGTGTATTTAACAAGAAATCCAATAAGGACATTTCTGGTTTTATTGCTACTAATTAGGGCCGGGACTTTAACGCGTTAATTAAGATTAATTAATTACACAAAAATTAACGCGTTAAAAAAATTAACGCATTTTAATCGCACTTATTTTTGCACCGCGGAACGTTTCTCATTGGATGAGTTTCAGGGGTACCGATTATACTGGAGCACCAACTAACGTTCATGACTTCAGACAACAACAAACCACAGTGAACAATAGTCAAACATGAACGAAGAAGCTGATGAGACCGCTTTGGTTGGCCCCGTGGATGGGACATTTTGTTTTAAAAAACGGACGGATGGAAGCGTCAATAAGAGCACGGTTGTTTGCAAATTATGCAAAAAGGAATTATTATATCACCGCAGCACATCAAGCCTCAAGTATTACCTCAATGCAAAACATATAGCAGCTAGTGTGGAAGCTAGCGTGGACGTTAGCCCGACTCGGAGTACAAGGACCCACACCGAATTCGCGTTGATCAAACAGTGGCCTATGCAACAGAGAGATTTTATTTTTCATCAGGATATTGGAAGAATAGGAGGGATTGAGGTCAATCACTGGCACTTTTTTATTTTATTTTAAATGGTACACTTTATGTTGAACTATTTATTACGTTGTTGGTGCAACTGGCACTTTATGTTGAACTGTTTATTGTTTTGGCCGAGGTTATTGAGAGAGTTGGACTGAAATTGATTAGATTTTTTAAATCAACTGTTGGTAAATCAACAAAGTCTGTTATGGCCTCTGAAGCATCAGAGAGATGTTTTCTAATAGTCAGGGTTTCCAATGTTCTGAATGTACTTGAAAGTATTGTGTTTTACTTAAAAAACAAAGTGTTATAGTTTGCAGAAGGTCTACCAACCTATAGGCTACCTGAATCTCTGAAATGTACTATATTCCTAAATATGCTATTGCTACACTTTATGGCAAAAATTGCACTTTTCTCTTGGTCTTGGTTATGTACCACCTTGAAAAAAATAAACAATGTTTTGTTGCTTAAGCTTATGTATTCAGTCATTAATCAATGGTATACTAAAATCCATT